GGTTTATTTTATGGGTCCTTAGACTAACATTGTCCATGGACTCACATTGCTTATAGACTAACATTGTCCATGGACTCACATTGCTTATAGACTAACATTGCCCATGGACTCACATTGCTTATAGACTAACATTGCCCATGGACTCACATTGCTTATAGACTAACATTGTCCATGGACTCACATTGCTTATAGACTAACATTGCCCATGGACTCACATTGCTTATAGACTAACATTGCCCATGGACTCACATTGCTTATAGACTAACATTGCCCATGGACTCACATTGCTTATAGACTAACATTGCCCATGGACTCACATTGCTTATAGACTAACATTACCCATGGACTCACATTGCTTATAGACTAACATTGCCCATGGACTCACATTGCTTATAGACTAACATTGCCCATGGACTCACATTGCTTATAGACTAACATTGCCCATGGACTCACATTGCTTATAGACTAACATTGCCCATGGACTCACATTGCTTATAGACTAACATTGCCCATGGACTCACATTGCTTATAGACTAGCATTGCCCATTGACTTAAATTTTCTTATAGACTAACATTGCCCATGGACTCACATTGCTTATAGACTAACATTGCCCATGGACTCACATTGCTTATAGACTAACATTGCCCATGGACTCACATTGCTTATAGACTAACATTGCCCATGGACTCACATTGCTTATAGACTAACATTGCCCATGGACTCACATTGCTTATAGACTAACATTGCCCATTGACTTAAATTTTCTTATAGACTAACATTGCCCATTGACTTAAAATTGCTTATAGACTAACATTGTCCATTGACTTAAAATTGCCCATAGACAAACATTGCCCATAGGCTGAACATTGCCCATATACTTGAAATGTCCCATAGACTAACATTGCCCATAGGCTGAACATTGCCCATATACTTGAAATGTCCCATAGACTAACATTGCCCATAGGCTGAACATTGCCCATATACTTGAAATGTCCCATAGACTAACATTGCCTATAGGCTTAACATTGCCCATATACTTGAAATGTCCCATAGACTAACACTGCCCATAGGCTGAACATTGCCCATATACTTGAAATGCCCCATAGACAAACATTGCCTATAGGCTGAACATTGCCCATATACTTAAAATGTCCCATAGGCTGAACATTGCCCATATACTTGAAATGTCCCATAGACTAACATTGCCTATAGGCTGAACATTGCCCATATACTTGAAATGTACCATAGACTAACATTGCCCATAGGCTAAACATTGCCCATATACTTGAAATGTCCCATAGACTAACATTGCCTATAGGCTGAACATTGCCCATATACTTGAAATGTCCCATAGACTAACATTGCCCATAGGCTGAACATTGCCCATATACTTGAAATGCCCCATAGACAAACATTGCCTATAGGCTGAACATTGCCCATATACTTAAAATGTCCCATAGGCTGAACATTGCCCATATACTTGAAATGTGCCATAGACTAACATTGCCTATAGGCTACTCGATGATTGCGTATGGCAGGGAGGTTCTGGTGCTGCTGCTGCTGCTGGCCACGAGGAGAGGGCTTCAGCGGGGAGAGATTCGGGTCGTTGCCGCCGCTGTTCCTCCTGCTCCGTTGAAGGAGAGCAGACAACAGCGGGGTTACACGCTCCGGTGCATAGTTCGGGTCGCATGGGTACAATCCTTAGACACAACTAATATCGTCGTGAAGGCGAATTGGACGTCGTAAATTCAAATGGCAATGGGTGTATCACTGATCAAAATGATTATTCGATGCATCGTGACACTCGAACGCCCATGCAAACACCAGTGATATACTTCATAATTAAAAGCAACATACCTATTTGCACAAACAGCGTATGTCAAAGTGGACGGGCTTGCACAGGATGCAGCGGGCACGTCCGCTACGGAGATGGAGCGATGAAATCGGCTCGCGCGTAGGACCTAGAATCTAGCTGCTGTGCACAAGCGCGATTTCAAGCTCACTGATTTGTTAGACTGGCTCACTAACCAGTCTAACCAGTCTAACCAGTATAACTAGTCTAACCAGTATAACTAGTCTAACTAGTCTAACCAGCAGTCTAACCAGCAGTCTAACCAGTGTAACCAGTATAACCAGTATAACTAGTCTAACCAGTATAACCAGTATAACCAGTATAACCAGTCTAACCAGCAGTCTAACCAGTCTAACCAGTCTAACTAGTCTAACTAGTATAACCAGTCTAACTAGTCTAACCAGTATAACCAGTATAACTAGTCTAACTAGTCTAACCAGTATAACTAGTCTAACTAGTATAACCAGTCTAACTAGACTAACTAGTATAACTAGTCTAACCAGTCTAACTAGCCTAACCAGTCTAACCAGTCTAACTAGTCTAACTAGTATAACTAGGTTGCCCATCAAGTGATCTTGATGATTTGCGACATCACAGGACAGTGAGGGCCGGCAGCGGCTCGGCTGTAGGCCTTCATCCAGCAGTGGGTAGATCAAGGCTGATGAAGCTAGAGCGATATTGTAAATAATAACGATGACAAAAATAGTCATTATGGTGATGTTGTTGTATATGTGGCGAGGTGGTACAGCGGTTAGAACAAATCAGCTCGCGTTAAAGAGGTTGCGGGTTTGAACCCCACTCAGAAATTGACTCGGCTCAGAATCCCTTTCTCGTGAATGAAGTGAATACCAATTTGTGGGGACTCGTATGGATTTTACTCGCCTCCGCCGTGGTCATGAGCCTCTCCCGACGCTCGCTGGAGGAGGATGGAACGGGGTGGGAAGCCAGTTTGATTTGACTTTTAAAAATTCAGTTAAAATATGGCAATAAAACCCAGTAATATGGTCCTCTATGAATATTTAATATCCTGTTTCAAGTATTATAGCCAGCACGGCCTTATCTCCATTCATAATGCATCAACGCACCGAATCAGCAATTTCATTTAATTACAGCATGAGTCACAATGCCAATCAATTAAATAAATATATAATAAAGCTTACTTTTTTTTCCTTCCTACGGCACCAACATGGTCAATGTCATATACAGCAGCAGCAACAACAACAATGGGATTTATTTATCCAGCAAAGTGTCACTGAATATCAGGACTCACGTTCAGGAGGGTGCCACGGTGGCTAGGAGATGTTAACGACCTCGCCTGGTATGCAGGAGGGCGTGGGTTCGATCCCAACACTGACGCCTGCTGCTGTATATTTCGAGTTTGTGTGATCTCTCTCCTCGTGGTCGCGTGGATTTTTCTCCGGGTCCTCCAGTTTTTCCCTCCACTGTTAGAATCAACATCACGCGTTTAGGGTATTTGGCTGCTATACATTTCTACGTGATAATCCACTTCGTTGAGCTACCATTTGTGGCCAGGTCGCTTCTAAAAAATTTACCCGTAAAAACAAAGTTTTTCACTATAAATCCTTTATATGCGTGGCGGCTAGAGTCCTCTCGTCTTCTGGCTTGAGATGGCTGCCACCTATGGGTCAGATGATTGTCTGCCACCATTAAGCAATTGGTAATTAAATATAATTAATTTTTTCTCTAAACAGTGTAAAATTTTTCACGAAAATTTATTGTCACGCACAACGAATCTGTGTGCAAAATGTCAGCTCGATTGGATCACGGGAAGTGGGTTGAAAAACGACCGAAAGATTTGCACGGTCGTAAGCAAGCAAGCAAGCACGCAAGCAAGTGAACTTAATATAAAGGATTTTAAAAAAGAGCTACACAGCTCAGGGTGGCCTTACCCGGTAATATATAATAGCTAATAAAAAGTGGTGATGAAGATTGGCCAATGTTCATTTTAAATAATTCGCATTTAGCTTCTTGTGGAAGGAAACCCACTGCACGTGCGAGGGGATAGCACCTTTACAACATACAAATCAGGTAAATGAACCTACTTGCTGAACTGCCACCTCTCGGCTACATCAGCTCGGGGAGGTATCACCAATCTCTGCATTATCCACCAACCCTCACCGCCAAAGCGTTTCTCCCCGCACCTCCGATTACTCCCCCCACCCGCACCTCCGATTAGCATGGTTGGCTACGTACGGTGCGAAAGACGTTCAACACACATCCAGTCCAGTACATAGCAGAGGTCGCAAACGGGTTTTGATTCCTTACCCGTACCCGTACCCGGCCGCACCAGGGTCGCAAACGGGTACCCGTACCCGTACCTGATACTCGGCCGGGTACGGGTAGCCGGGTATCGGGTTGGGTACGGGTATCGGGTTGGGTACGGGTATCGGGTACCCGATTGCGACCTCTGGTACATAGGTCACAGAGGCGTGCAGCACCACGCCTGGCTCAGTGAGCGATGCACGATCCACACGGATGGGTTGGGGTCAGGGTTAGAGTCAAGGCTAATGGCCTGGTGGGGGCATGGAGGGCTGGCTGACTTTAACGATGGCCAGCCATCACGAGCCATCGTTTGTCCACTGCTGGATGAAGCATTTTTTTCAAGTGACGGAGGACAGACCCGCATGAGCCGTGATCCATCCGCTGCTGGATTAAGCCCTCCCCAAGTCTCCTTGGGTTGCTAAACCGTAAAACGATGTTGACCAGCGGCCATCACCCCTCTCCGACGACTCATCCCGCCCGCCGTCATCCAAGCGTGCGTAGCTTCTCGGGTCGGGCCGCGTGTCGGGCTATTTCAACTCTCCATGCTGTCGCCATGCACCATCGCGTGGCGACGCCTTCAGCAGCTGAGTCGGGTGGCCTCGCACAGCGTAAGGGGGAAGAGCTCGCGAGCTCGCTAGAGAGAGAGAGAGATGGGGGCGAGGGGGGTGCTCTACACGGGGCCTAACGTGGACACCCGCGGTCCCACGTCGTCCCTTGCCGACGAGTATCGCTTCTTGCTTCTCGATGTAATCCCAGACATGTGAGCTGCACGGGAAGTGACTGAGTGATGTCCTCTCCTCCTGCCGCCCCCTCCCCTCCCTGTCGCCCCCACCCTCTCCCCGGGCCCGGCGGTGCGCGCTGCAGGAGCGTTCATGTTCCCGTACTTCATCATGCTCGTGTTCTGCGGGATCCCTCTCTTCTTCCTGGAGCTCTCCTTCGGCCAGTTCGCCAGCCTCGGCTGCCTGGGCGTTTGGAAGGTCAACCCGCTCTTCAAAGGCACGCGCACGCACCTGTGCCACACACACACTCACGTGTGCACACTCGTGCACACCTGTGCCACACACTCACCTGTGCACATCTGTGTGCAGGACGTGCACTCACCTGCACGGATGTCCTCTTCTTCTTGGTTCTTTCGGTAAAGTCACGCAGAAGGGAAATAATAAAATAAAATAAAAATAGAACATAATAAAATACAATTCTCACGACGTTTCGGCCACAATGCAAGCAGCCGTCATTCAGACGCTGTCTTTCCGACAGACCTGTTCTTCACCTGAGGACGGCTGCTTGCGTTGTGGCTGAAACGTCGTGAGAATTGTATTTTATTATGTTCTATTTTTATTATTTTATTATTTCCCTTCTACGTGACTTTACCGAAAGAACCAAGAAGATGAATCCCTGCAGTCACGAAAGCTTTAAATCCGATGTCCTCTTGTTGAAAACTGTGTGCATTTACCTGCAAACGCCTACAATCATCTGTACAATCACCTTGACAAAGACAAAGATTCCCCGTATAGCCTTAACAGGCTGCAGGGGCAAGTACCATTAGCGAGCACCTATGAAGGCCGGCACGGCACACGAGGGGGTTGGTGGCCAGCAATATTGTCACACGCGTGGCCCTGTTTACACACAGCACCGAGTACTTGTTTCATGCTGAGTATACCTAGGGGTAGTGCAGCGCGCTAACCGTTGCACTACCACTCCCCAAACCCGCATACGCTGACCTGTTGACAGCTGCACCCAACATGCAGTCACCTGTCTGCATGAACAACATTCACCTCTCTGTATGTTCACGCAGCGACACGTACTCAGCTGTGCACATCTGCACACCACATCAAGTTTACCTCTCGCTATGGTTGTGCCACTGCCAGCGCAGTGCCAGTGAACACTCGCTCCTGATGATGGTGGTGATGGTGGCGGTGATGGTGGTGATGGTGATGGTGGTAGTGGTGATGGTGGTGGTGATGGTGATGGTGGTAGTGGTGATGGCGGTGATGGTGGTGATGGACAACACCGCTGTTGCTTGTGCCGCCAACCACTCTCGGCCTAATCTACCCCCCACCACTACCGCTCCCCCCACCACGACCGCTCCCCCCACTCGCCACCCCTACCGCTCCCCCACCCCCCACCACGACCGCTCCCCCCACCACTACCGCTCCCCCCACCACGACCACTCCCCCCACCACTACCGCTCCCCCCACCACTACTGCTCCCCCCACCACTACCGCTCCCCCCACCACGACCGCTCCCCCCACTTTTTTTCCAGGTCCTCTGGTTTTTCCCCTGCAAATTTAGAATCCACGTCATGCGTTTAGGAGTATTTTGCCGCTACGAGTGTGCACGCGATGAGCCACTTCAGTGAGCTCCCGTTGGTGGCCAACGGGAGCTGTCCAGCTCAGTGGGCCTTACCTGGTAGGTAAGAACAATCATTAAAATAATAACAATAATAACAGTAGTGGTGGTTTTTCACGTGTCTCCTCCACCCTTCCCTCCGTTCTGTTCCCGGCGGCAGGCGTCGGGTACGGCATGATGGTCGTCTCCAGCTACATCGGCATCTACTACAACGTGGTCATCTGCATCTCCTTCTACTACTTCTTCGCGTCGCTCACGCAGTCGCTGCCCTGGACGTTCTGCGGGAACCCGTGGAACACGGAGAAGTGCACCAGCGTCTACGACCCCGTGGCACTCCTCAACGGCGAGTGGCCGGGCGCGGGCCCCCCCCGCCCCGCCCCCCTCGCCGCCCCCCCCCCTCGCCCCCAACCTGCCCCCCTCGCCGCCGCCCCGTTCCCCCAGCCCCCCTCGCCCCCCTCGCCGCCCCCCCCCCTTCACCCCCACCCCGCCCCGACAGAAAGCATCAACCGGAATTCGATCGGATTCCGGTCGATGGAGAGATTCAGCTGTAGATATGGGGGGCCGGTGGGGGGAGGGCAGGGATTGGGTTTGGGGGGTGCCGATATTGAGAGCGTCTGTCATTTAGGGGTTTGGCGATGAAGGGGGTTCTGTAAGCGCAGGGGGTTTCCGTAATTCAGGGGGTCCGTACTTCAGACGCGTTACGTCATACCTGGAATTCAGATTTCATGGAGTGCGTTCGGTGGCCCCCGCACAGTCGAAGCTACTCGGACAAAGTCCATCGACGAGAGAGAGAGGGCAAGGTCACCGCAGCCGCGATTGGCGAACCCGCGTCCCTGTGCTCTGCCCGTGCAGTAACCTCGCACTCTCAGCTCTTTTTGGAGATTCACTTCCTAGTAAACAAAACAAATTAGGCACCCTTTCATTTATTACAACAACAACATGTTTCAGCCCCTTCCTCCCCTACAACCCCCGCGAAACAAATATGTACTTTTCTCCTCTCCACCCCCCCAATCTCAAAGAGTATTTGTCACCCTCTGCCCGTCGCCCCGCTGCGTCCCACAGGCACGGCCAACACGAGCCACGTTCCGGAGGTCGAGATGGGCCCCGCCAACGCGATCCTCGCCAACGCGTCCGAGCTGGTGCACGGGGCGGTGCGCGCCAGCCCCAGCTCCGAGTACTGGAAGTGAGTTGCGGCATTCGTCGAGCTCCGAGCCCCCCGCTGGGCTGAGATGGATCCATACTCTTAGTTTTTTCGGCAAAGTCACTTAGGTAAAAAAATGAAATTAAAATTAATAAAAATAAAATAATAATAAATCACGACGTTTCGGAGGCAACACAAGTCTCCGTCATCAGGTGGGACCGTCACAGCCAGATTTGCTGCATCAAGTGCCGTCACAGCCAGATTTGCTGCATCAAATTTGGCTGTGACGGTCCCACCTGATGATGGAGACTTGTGTTGCCTCCGAAACGTCGTGATTTTTTATTATTTTATTTTTATTAATTTTAATTTCATTTTTTACCTACGTGACTTTACCGAAAAAACTAAAAGTATGGATCCTTGCAGTCATGAAAGCTTCAAATCTAGAACTGAGATGGATAGTTCGGCAGACCGCAACTCGATGCTCCAGTGAGCCTCTATCTGCCAGAGCCTCGCTCGAGCTGCTGGGGGCTAATGCTCGCTGCTCGCTGCTAGAGCCTCCGGCTGATAGAGCTAGAGCCTCGCACTGCGAGAACCAGGGTCGCCCTTAGGCAGAGGCGTAGCTAGGGGGGGGGCAGGGGGGTACATATGTCCCCGGGCGCCAAGGTAAAGGGGCGCCAAAATTAGGCTTACAACATTATAACTTATTGCGGCGGGCGCGGCAGCCTGAAACTACTGCACAAATCTACACCTCAACCTAAAAGTTTATATATCCCGCCACACACAGCCTACATGTCATGTAAGTACATTTTGGTATGTGATTAAACGGGGGGGGGGGGGGGGCGGGGGGGGCGCCAATTTTATAGTTCGTCCCCGGGTGCAAAATATCCTAGCTACGCCACTGCCCTTAGGAGCAGGCAGGAGGGCAAAGGAGGCGATTTGCGTCGGGGCCTCGCACGATGAGCACGGTTGGCTACGTGACGCTGCGAGCGAAGATCAACATACAGACAGACACAGAGTGCCCCACACCGGGTCTGGCTTTTGCCCGTAATGAACAAGGGGACCCCGCCTGGTTTACTGTCCCCGGCCGCCAGGAACTTCTGGACGACCCCGCTCAGGACCCGAATCTTAACTCTAATCCTAGCCTCTGGCAGTTAGCCTCCAGCACCCGAGCTTTTAGCTCCGAGCACTAATTTTAACCCGAACTATAGCTCTAACTCCAGAGATCACAGTAATTCACGACCCTTAGCCGTAACCCTCACCCTGACCCTTACTATAAGCGGGGACTGATGGCTGGTTTTGATATCACTCGCCATTGTGCGTATCTGTCTCGATATGTTCCTGTCTCTCAGTCTACTCATCCATTTCGTCTGCCACTATTCTTTTGCTCGATTATCTGCTCTATCTTGTCAGTCTGCCTGAGGGTACGTCTGTCTGTCAATCTATCTAGCTGTCTATCAGTCTCTCCATTCATCCAGCTCGTAGCCGCTCCTGCCTATCTGCCCAACTATCCATCTGAAATATAGATTTGAAGCTTTCGTGACTGCAAGGATTCATATTCTTAGGTTTTTTCGGTAAAGTCACGTAGATAAAAAAATAAAATTAATAAAAGTAAAGTAATAATAAAATAAAAATCACGACGTTTCGGAGGCAACACAAGCTTCCGTCTCCAGGTGGAACCATCACAGCACCCTCAACCAGTATATATACAAGGACTGTTTTCTTGGAATTTCTCTTACTTGAAACATCAATCGTGCTGTGACGGTTCCACCTGAAGACGGAAGCTTGTGTTGCCTCCGAAACGTCGTGATTTTTATTCTATTTTTATTTTACTTTAATTAATTTTAATTTTTTATCTACGTGACTTTACCGAAAAAACCTAAGAATATCCATCTGCACCCTAAACCCAGCCCTGACCATAACCCTCACTTTCCACCGCTTGTCCTGTGTGCCCCCCCACCCCCCCATCCCTGCCAGGTACTATGTCCTCCGTCTGTCGGACAGCATCGGAGAGTTTGGTGAGGTTCGCCTGCCGCTGCTGGGATGTCTCGCCCTGTCCTGGGTCGTCGTCTTCCTCTGCCTCATCAAGGGAATCAAATCCTCCGGCAAGGTGACCTTTGAACCCCACTGGCTACTGCCGCCACCCTCCGCTTCCTCCTCCGCTCCGCTTGGTCATTTCCCCCGCACCTCCGATTCGCACGGTTGGCTATGTACGGTGTGAAAGAAGTTCAACGTACATACATAGTGAGGCATGCAATGAGTAACCGTTCTCTGCTGCCCCCCCCCCCCAAATCTTTAACTATCCCCCCCAACCACAACAGCCCACCGCTCCCCTTCCCCGTCCGCCACTCTCCAAAGTAATTTCTGAGTTTTAGGAATCTTGTAATCATACTTCGAGGCCCTTTCTTTATCTATGAAAAGCTCACATGGTACCAACATGTTAAGTTCAAAGTTCATTTATTAGGTATAGCCCTGTGAGCCATTCGGCTCTTGAATCGGGTGCAACTGCACCCGATTCACATATGTGTTGGCGAATAATGTATAAAAAAATATATCTATATATAACAACAGCAACAATGCAATTTATTTATCCAGGAAAGTCTCACCGAGTCTCAAGATTCGTTTTCAGGAGGGTGCTGCTGCTCCATTGGGATGTTTGGGAAATTGCATTCACGAGGGTTTGGCTTCGTGTGGGAGGGAGAAAGGGATACCCCGGAGAAAACCCAGCGTGCATGCGAGGCAGACAACACTCAAACTCCGCACAGATGGATTCAGGAATAAATTGTATGTACAGTACTGCCATCTCCTGACCACCTCTGCAAGTGCAACCTGTTATCACCACTAGCACGATACGTAACGGCACGTGCACATTCGCACAGAAGCAGCTCATTTTGACCGATAACTAATTTTAGAGACCTCAGATAAATGCACAAACGATTGCTTTTATTTCACTCAATATAATGAATTACAATAAAAAAAAAATATTGATGCAAAACACTTACAAAATAATGCTCTAAGGTCCCACCGAGATTTGAACTCGGATCGCAGGATTCAGAGTCCTGAGTGCTAACCATTACACCATGGAACCTCCACACTGGGGCCACTCACTAAGCTGACTCTTGGTCGCATCCCAGACCCTTCCCCATCCCAACTGTCCACCAGATTCAATTCCAGCTCGAGCTTGCATTCGCAGTCGGTCAAAGTGCAATCGATCGCTCGCCACTCGGTCAACACCAAAGTCAACATCAGCACGGGGGAGACAAAGGTGGTCTGGCCTGCATATGGTGTGCGCCACCCGGTCTCAAACTAAACTATGAACTAAACTATTTTCTGTTTACCAGTTGAGGCTCACTGAGCTGTGTGGCTCTTTTTCGGAAGCGACCTGGCCACAATCGATAGCTCAACCAAGTGGCTTATCACGCGGAAATGTTTACAGCAGCCAAATACTCTGAACGCACGTTGATTTTCTAAATGTGGAGGGAATAGCCGGAGGGACCCAGAGAAAATTCAACGTGACCAAGGGCAGAGAGAGAGAGAGACACGCAAACTCCAAATATACAGCAGCAGGCATCAAGGTCAGGATCGAACCCACGACCTCCTGTATACCAGGCGAGGTAGTTAACATCTCCTAGCCACCGTGATAATGATAGAGAGAGACACACGCAAACTCCAAATATACAGCAGCAGGCATCAAGGTCAGGATCGAACCCACGACCTCCTGTATACCAGGCGAGGTCGTTAACATCTCCTAGCCACCGTGATGATGAGCGAGAGACACACGCAGACTCCAAATATACAGCAGCAGTCATCAAGGTCAGGTATACCAGGCGAGTTAGTTAACATCTCCTAGCCACCGTGATGATGAGAGAGAGACACACGCAAACTCCAAATATACAGCAGCAGGCATCGAGGTCAGGATCGAACCCACGACCTCCTGTATACCAGGCGAGGTAGTTAACATCTCCTAGCCACCGTGATGATGAGAGAGAGAGACACACGCAAACTCCAAATATACAGCAGCAGGCATCAAGGTCAGGATCGAACCCACGACCTCCTGTGTACCAGGCGAGGTAGTTAACATCTCCTAGCCACCGTGATAATGATAGAGAGAGACACACGCAAACTCCAAATATACAGCAGCAGGCATCAAGGTCAGGATCGAACCCACGACCTCCTGTGTACCAGGCGAGGTCGTTAACATCTCCTAGCCACCGTGATGATGAGCGAGAGACACACGCAGACTCCAAATATACAGCAGCAGGCATCAAGGTCAGGATCGAACCCACGACCTCCTGTATACCAGGCGAGGTCGTTAACATCTCCTAGCCATCGTGATGATGAGAGAGAGAGACACACGCAAACTCCAAATATACAGCAGCAGGCATCAAGTTCAGGATCGAACCCACGACCTCCTGTGTACCAGGCGAGGCAGTTAACATCTCCTCGCCACCGTGGTGCCTCTTGCGTGCACTGCGTCGCGCCGCCCTTACTAGAGGCTCACTAACATCGCGTTGCCATGACGGCCTCTAAGCTCGGCTAACGGATTCTGGGTACCGGAGGAGAGGGATGGGGGGGGGAGTGAGGGGCCGGAGGGGGGGAGGGGGATGGGAAGAGCCACGGGGAGGGATGGGGAGAGTGGCGGAGGAAAAGAGGAGGAGGGGAAGGACGAGGAGGGAGATGAGGAGGAGGAGGAGGAGGGGACCTCGGCTTTGTGTTTATTCCGTGAGAGTTCCCGCGTGCATCTGGGGTGGTCCTGGCCGCACAGCGGTTGCAGTGACGGCGTTTTCGTCTTTTGCGGAGAAGAGGAAGAAGATTGATCGATCGAGCCGAGACGGGTGGAATGGGACTGAGGTGGGGGGCCGGGGGCGAGAGCCATTGGGGGGGGCTGACTTGGTTTTAGCGGCGCGCACGCCGGGAACAATGGCCACAAATTTCTGGTCCCTTTTCATCGCCGTGCCGACCCCTCCCTCGTATTCCGAGGGTTCCCACGGCCCCAAGCCGGAGGCCTTGGGGGTGGCTCCCTCCTTCCTCCACCCCCCACCGCTATCGCCCCCCTCCACCCTCCCCCCAAAAGAAACTGGTCGCTGCCTCCCAACGCCATCCACCGCTAGCATCACCCAATATCACCCAACACCGCGCTGTTCACATTTGACACTCTCGCTGCAACTTTGTTACACACTCTCTCTTTCTTTCTCTCTCTGTCTCGACTTGGCTTCTACCTGTCTCGCTCGCTTTCTCTCTCCATCTCGCTGCCTCCCTGTCTCCCCCGCCTCTCTCTCTCTCTTTTTTTACGATCAGTGGAAACAAGAAGATGCTCGGTGTATTCGGCACTTTGCTTCGTTCATCATTTCGTAAACTTTGCTTTATGTAAACCCCCACCTCTCTCTCTCTCTCCACCTCCCTGTCTCCCCTTGACTCCCTCTCTCTGACTCTCCCTTTAACTTCGCCCGCTCTCTCTAACTTGCATTTGTGTTGCTGGTGACCTTGTGTATTTCGAATCGAAATCGCCTCCAGTGCTGTTGCTGCTGACGGCAATAAAGGTTGTTTAAAAGTCAAAGTCTCTCACCTCTCTCCACCTCCCGCCTGCTCAGCACCAGTCTCGAAGTCCCCAGTCATACAATATGTTTAAATATGATTCGTAGAAGTTGCTTGTGCTCCTATTACTACTCAGTGCCTCGAGCGAACACTGCGAAATCGAACGTTGGATTCATTAGCCGATTTTTTTTACAAGCATTAATATTTTAACTAACTAAAGTTTAAGAATTATATTTTAAAAAGTGTATAATACGCCTACGGACACTTTAAAGCAAAAGTCACGCGATAGTGAATTTTAGTTCACACCAAACACAAAACGGCTAAACTTGAAAATCCAACGCGATTGTTTTTGGCACGAGGCTAAGCAAAGCACAACCCACGTTCCCGTCTGCACGTTGAACTTCTTTCACACCGTACGTAGCCAACCGTGCTCATATCCGTGGCCGTAGGCTCTGATCAAATCGGCCGTAGTGCGTCCGATCGCGTGGACACGAAGCAGGGATTCATATTCTTAGGTTTTTTCGGTAAAGTCACGTAGGTAAAACATTTAAATTAATAAAAGTAAAATAAAATAAAAATCACGACGTTTCGGAGGCAACACAAGCTTCCGTCTTCAGGTGGAACCGTCACAGCCACGACAGCTGGATCAAGTAAATGAGAGATTGCAGGAGCTTACGTGATACAGCTGTCGTGGCTGTGACGGTTCCACCTGAAGACGGAAGCTTGTGTTGCCTCCGAAACGTCGTGATTTTTATTTTATTTTACTTTTATTAATTTTAATGTTTTACCTACGTGAGTTTAACACGTAGGCTTTCGCGACCAATATTATTCATAATCAACGTTTTTGGGTTTAGATCGCGTTATTTATAAATGTGTCGTAACCCTCCACCACCCGACACGGCCAATCAGTAAAAAAGTGTCACGTTGACAAAGGACAAATAGTTCACTGCTTTAGCCCACCGGTGTGTTGAAGCATCATCGGGCGAATTGCCCGATGATGCTGGATGCAATTACCTACGTGACTTTACCGAAAAAACCTAAGAATATGAATCATTGCAGTCACTAAAGCTTCAAATCTAGAACGAAGCAAGGGACTGAGCTTGCCGAACAGTGCTTTGGATTGGCGACCGCCACGCACATACCGAGGTGCCAGAGGGCTGCGGTGCTTCTCATGCCAGCTCGCTCAGAACAGCTGTGGGTGGCAGCGGCTGGATAAGTGGCTGGATGAATTATTTATTCGGTGATGCCGATGCCGCCGCTGCCTACTGGCCGCTGTCGCTTTGGCAGTGGCGCACAAATAACAACACGCAAAACTCTTCAACGCGTTCGCCAAGAACGCCGTGGCCTTGACAAATCAAACGAATATAATTGGCGACATTGCGTTTTCCCTTCTGCATGTGGAGGGGCCACTACACCCTATCTCTGCGCTGTGAAGGAGTAGCCGTTGCCCGAAAAGTCGGCAATCATATTATTTTTCTCTTTGTTTTTGCGAATGAATTCATGTGTGTGTGACCTGTATCTGTTGCATCTCCAGGTGGATTACCTATAACGTTGATTTCCAGGTGTGTGTGTGTGTGTGACCTCCTGCCAGCGGGCGCTCGACACTTCACGTGGCCTCAAGGTGCACATGGCCTGGCACAAGCGTCGTGGTGACGTCACCGCCACTTAGTGGCGAATGGCGGTTGTTGTTGTGGGGAGCGGTAGTGTAGCGGTTAGCGCGCTGCGCTAGGAACCTGGCGAAACGAGTTTGATTCCCGCTCACGGCCACACCAGTGACGATTATCTGAACCGGTCCTGGGCCTCCCCTAGGTCGACTCAGCCTGAAATGAGTACCTGGTGCGGTGTGTAAACATCGCCACTGGGGAGACAAAGGCGGTCGGGCGTGGTGCTGGCCACCCACCCCCTCGTGTACCGTTCCGGCCTTCATAGGTGCTCGCTAACAGCACTTGTCCCTACAGTCTGTTAAGGCTATACGGGGGGATCTTTGTGGTGATGCCTGTTGCCAGGTGCGCTACGTATGACGTGTACTTTTATAGGTGTGTAACTGTTTCTTTTCCCGAGTGCGACACTGGGATTTTCCCGTCTCGGTGCTACTCGACCTCAGGGTGCTTTACCTGTGGCTGTTCGACTTTCATGTGCACTACCTGTTCAATCTACAGGTGTGCGACCAGATATCGGTGTGCTATCTGTGTCTGGTCCTCCTCCAGGTGTATGTACAGGTGTGCTACCTGTATCTCCTCCACCTATACATGTGACGCAATATCGGAGTGTTTTACCTGTATGTGCCCAATCTCTAGGTGTGTTTCCTCCACCCCTAAGTGCGACACCACCTCCACGTGCGTTACCTGCAGCTCTTCCGCCTCCACGTGTGCTCACGTCCTGCTTGCCCCCCCTCCCCCCCCCCTGTGCCCCGCCCCCAACCTTCCACCCCCACCCCACGCATCGCAGGTGGTCTACTTCACCGCCACATTCCCGTACGTCGTTCTCTTCATCCTCTTCATCCGCGGCGTCACGCTGGACGGAGCCATCCAGGGCATCTCCTACTACCTCACCCCGCAGTGGGATAAGATCCTGCAGGCAAAGGTACCTTGCACGCCGCGCATGCGCAAAACAGACACGGATGCAAGCGACATCGTAGCGTGACGTCGGGGTTTTATGTCGTTGTCATCGGTGTCGCGGTCGTCGTTCGTGCCGATTGCAGCTCGCAGTTGTTGATGAAACCAGGGACACGAGCTGCCAGGCAGCTAGACAGCTGGCCAGTTCGTGAGGATGGAGCTGCCAACAATTTCTCAAGCTCTGCAGTCCTCTCTATATCTGTTTTCAAACAAACACGGTCGCCGCATCGCGCAGCGCTTTCAGACGTGATTCTGCGGCCGTCTGGAACACTTCCTTCTGATGTTAGGACGCTTACTGGAGCTGTGCACTTTTAAATCTAGATTGATAACTCACTTCGCTCTGATTAGCTTGTTTGGCTGTGTACGGCGGGAAATAAGTTGAACATACATACATATTCTTGGTTCTTTCGGTAAAAGTCACATAGAATGGAAATAATAAAATAATAAAAATAAAACATATTAAAATTATTCTCACGACGTTTCGGCCACAACGCATTTCCCATAAATATGCTATATTCCTCTTGATATGCAAATTATTTTGTCAAGGCGATCTTCCCCCTCCAACCCAGCTTAAATATACGCTCCAAGCCTGGGGTGTTTCATTCAGACGCTGTCTTCCCGACAGACCTGTTCTTCACCTGAGGACGGCTGCTTGCGTTGTGGCCGAAACGTCGTGAGAATATTTTATTATGTTTTATTTTGATTCTTTTATTATTTCCATTCTACGTGACTTTACCGAAAGAACCAAGAAGATGAATCCCTGCAGTCACGAAAGCTTTAAATCGAAATTCATACATACATATTGCAGATGTTTTCAGCCAATGAATGGGCGTTTAAACATCATCATTTGTCATCATGGTCGTCACTAGTCACGGTCGATCCTCGCTGCTGCGTGAGGGTCTCCCCCATGCCGCCTCCACCTGCCACGATCTTTCAAGGCGACAAACCACTCGGCGCCAGCTGCACACAAACTCATTTTGTCGCTCTGTCTCCCCGGTGGGGTACCGAGTAGCGGAGCGTTGGTTGTAAACCGATGACCCGAGTTCGATTCCCACTCACGGCTACCAACACCGCTGACGATTTGCATGAACGGGTGCTGGGCCTCCCCTAGGTAGACTCAGCCTGAAATTATTTCAGGCTGTCCCCGGACTTACGAACGCACGAACTCGCACTTGCGAATCGAACCGCGGAAACTATTTAGAGTGTTCGATGCAAATGCACACTATTTCTTCTTATTCGTGAGTTTAACAATGCTTCCATATTTTGTTGAACCGTAACACACTTTACAGCATTCATCGTATGTGCATTAAAATACAGTACATTATTGTATTGCGACCTACTAACAAACGGAACCTCGGAACAGACCCCCGTTTGTAAGTCGATGACTTCCTGTACCTGGTGCGGTGTGTAAGCATCGCCACTGGGGAGACAAAGGCGGCCGGGCGCGGTGCTCGCCGCCCGCCCCCTCGTGCGCCGTGCCGGCCTTCATTTGCGATGCTCCCTAACAGCACTTGCCCCAACAGTCTGTTGAGTCTACACGGGGGACCTTTGTCTTTGTATATGTGTACGTGTCACTCGGCCTCAAATGTGTACCTGGTGCGATGCGTAAACATCGTCGCTGGGGAGACAAAGGCGGCCGGGCGTGGTGTTGGCCACCCACTTTTTCGTGTTGTCGTGCCGGCCTTCATAGGTGCTCGCTAACAGCCCTTGCCCCTACAGTCTGTTAAGGCTACACGGGTGATCTTTGTCTTTGTGTACGTGTCACTCGGCCTCAAATGTGTACCTGGTGCGGTGCGTAAACATCGTCACTAGGGAGACAAAGGCGGCCGGGCGTGGTGTTGGCCACCCACTTTTTCGTGTTGTCGTGCCGGCCTTCATAGGTGCTCGCTAACAGCACTTGCCCCAACAGTCTGTTGAGTCTACACGGGGGATCTTTGTCATTGTAGGTGTGGGGCGACGCGGCGTCCCAGATCTTCTTCTCTCTGGGCTGTGCGTGGGGCGGCCTCATCACCATGGCCTCCTACAACAAGTTCCACAACAACTGCTACAAGTGAGTCATTATCATGATTATTATAATAATAGTAGTAATCCTATGCAAGTTTGTCTCCGCCATAGGAACGTGGAATTTCCATTGCTGGCTCAGGGATGTGAGCAGGCGATGAGCGCTGTCGCAATGCTGCTCATTTGAGAAGGAAATCACTTTGACTTTTTTTCTAAATTGTAAAAATAATAACAATGATCTCCGTTTGTCCAGGGAACTAAAACATCGCTTGTCCCGTGGAGAGATTCTACCTTGGCATAGTAATGTGGAATTTCCACCCCTGGCTCAGGGTAGTAAATGGGACATGATAAATGAATGCCCTGACCTGTAACCTCTCTCTGACTTTGTAAAATAATTCCCTGTATTTTGGGGGCAATCATAATAATTATAATATTAACCAATTATAATCATTGTGCCCTTTTCCCAAGGTCCTGCTCCAGTGTGGATGTTTGAGCAATTCCATGAACGAGTTGTTTTGCTTGTGGGATCAGACCGCGCATACCTGGAGAAAACTCCACGTCACCGTGGTGGCACGGTGGCGAGATGTTAACTACCTCGCCTGGTATACAGGAGGTCGTGGGTTCGATGCCGAACCCTGAGGCCTGTTGTACATGTGGAGTTTGCATGTGCTCGCATGGATTTTTCTCTGGGTCATCCGGTTTTCCCCTCTACATTTAGAATCAACATGAATTCTGTCTCCCTCTAAGCTTGCTTACCTTACTCCCCTCCCTTCGTACTCATTGACATGTAAATGTTTTCCCTACCCCCTCCCTCTCTCTGCCTCCGCCCCCCTCTGTCTATTTAAGGCCACCCCACAGAGACGATCACCTCTCTCTGTACCTGGGTTGCTCTCTCTATGTATCTTGGTGATATCTGTCTGCTTATATGTCTGTCTATAGTTTTCTGGTTATATTCTATGTCGCTATTTCATTATACCTGATGATGATTGCTTGTGTTGCAATCGAAACGTCGTATGCTATTATTTAATTTATTATTTTATTTTTATACGTGACTTTACCGAAAAAACCAAAGAATAATTCCTGCAGTCACGAAAGCTCCAAAATTAAGAATGAATTCAGAGTATTTGGCTGCTGTACATTTCCACGTGATAAGCCACTTCGTTGAGCTATCATTTGTCACTTCTAAAAAATTAACACGTAAAAACAAAGTTTTTCACTATAAATCCTTTATATGCGTGGCGGCTAGAGTCCTCTCGTCCTCTGGCTTGAGATGGCTGCCACCTATGGGTCAGATGATTGTCTGCCAGTATTAAGCAATTGGTAATTAAATATTTTAAAAAATCCCTAAACAGTGTAAAATTTTGAAACAAAAATTTTCACGAAAATTAATTGTCACACACAACGAGTCTGTGTGGAAAATGTCAGCTCGATTGGATCACGGGAAGTGGGTTAAAAAACGACCGAAAGATTTGCACGGTCGTAAGCAAGCAAGCACGCAAGCAAGCAAGCGAACTTAATATAAAGGATTTTAAAAATATCTCAATGGGCCTTACCAGCACGCATACAAAGCGCCGTACGATTCAATTGCTGTACCGCCATCTCCTGGCGGCCTTGCAGAAGTGCAATGCATTGTGTTACACGTGTACGCCAAACCCCCTATCCACAGTTAACTCGTTACGCTTGCAAAGTCACGCAAAAAGCAGCGTGCAGTCTGATCAACAACTCTTCCGATACTAATCCATTGCCCGAAGTGTCCTCATTATAAACGTAGCTTTTTTTTAAATGTTACAACTGAAAATATTTACAAAATATTACTCCAAGGTCCCACCGAGATTTGAACTCGGATCGCAGGATTCAGAGTCCTGAGTGCTAACCATTACACCATGGAACCTCCACGCAGGAACACATCACAATAAAAACCCTTAGCCGTACGCCACCAAGGCTACGTGGTCGGAAACCCCACTGTGAAAAAGGGCCATTGCCCGAAACGTCGCATATATATTCTATATTTCCTTTTTAAGGTCACACGGTGTTGTTGACGGAATGTGTCGAGTGGCTGTTGTACGTGCTTTGTGCCACCGCTGCCAATTCAGCAGCAGCAGCAGTAGCAGCAGCATCGCCAATAATCTGCGAGGAAATTAATCGGAGTGCCCGGAGGATAAAAAAAATCGAGCGTAGACCTCAAAAGCTTCACGCAGATAAGATTCAAGGATCTATTGCTGCACCTTCATCTTTTGGCCATCTCGTAGCTCAAGCCTACGACACTTGCTATTATTCCCTGGCGGTCTACCACCCAAGTTCAAACCAGCGTCGAAAACTCCCCTACCCGCGCCAGATCTATGAAGCCACCTTCTTCACAGACACTCTTCTTCCTCCCAGCCACGCCTCCTCTTCATAACCACGCCTCCTCTTCCTCCCAGCCACGCCTCCTCTTCATAACCACGCCTCCTCTTCCTCCCAGCCACGCCTCCTCTTCATAACCACGCCTCCTCTTCCTCCAGCCACGCCTCCTCTTCATAACCACGCCTCCTCTTCCTCCCAGCCACGCCTCCTCTTCATAACCACGCCTCCTCTTCCTCCCAGCCACGCCTCCTCTTCATAACCACGCCTCCTCTTCCTCCCAGCCACGCCTCCTCTTCATAACCACGCCTCCTCTTCCTCCCAGCCACGCCTCCTCTTCATAACCACGCCTCCTCTTCCTCCCAGCCACGCCTCCTCTTCATAACCACGCCTCCTAAATTTCGATTTAAAGCTTTCGTGACTGCAGGGATTCATCTTCTTGGTTCTTTCGGTAAAGTCACGTAGAATGGAAATAATAATATTTTATTATTTCAATTCTACGTGACTTTAAATAATAATATTTTATTATTTCCATTCTACGTGACTTTACCGAAAGAACCAAGAAGATGAATCCCTGCAGTCACGAAAGCTTTAAATCGAATGGAAATAATAAAATATTATTATTTCTACGTGACTTTAGCGAAAGAACCAAGAAGATGAACCACGCCTCCTCTTCTTCCCAAACACTCCTCCTGTTCTCAGCCACTCCATCTCCCGGGTTCACTTCTCCATCTACATCAGCCGCTTCTAACGCCGTGGGGTGATTGATGGAAGAAGAAGAAGAACCCGCTCGACACATCGTTCGATCACACTGCGACCTTCAAAAGGGAGACTTCAAATAAAAGATGAGGCGACGTTTCGGGCAACGGGCCTCGTTCGTCGCACCGGCCCTTTTTACCCCAAACGATGCCTCATACGTTTGCTCCTCCTCCCTTGAAGGCCACGCGGTGTGACTGACGGATGCGTTCTTGCAAGTTGTGCTCTGTACACCGCTGCCAACGCAGCAGCAGCAGCAAGCAGCAGACGAAGCACCGCCGAAAGTAATTTCGAGTGATTTAACGTGGCGGCTTGAGAGGCAATTTCCACCGCTTTCACTGCTCGGCAGAACCCCGCCGCATTACATCGCCACTGCAGAATGAGCTCGCAAGGGCTTCCACAGGCGCAGATGGGCTCACCAGATTGCCTCGGATCAGACTTGCGTGCATGCGGCTAAACGGTCCATTTGCCACCGTTTTTGTTGATATACGAAGATGGTTGGTACGTGGTTGGTGTATATAGATAGATGTCCAGCCGGCTTGGAAAGTGCAGTCTCCAACCCGTATTACCCACTCGATCACCCTGGCTTTCCTCTTTATGTGCGACGAATGCTATGCTCTGTACGTGCTAAAGATCGTTAGGACCCTGTACTCGTTTTTTGCAATATATGAATGTCTTTGTCTTGTTCGCTGATGCTGCTGCTGCTGATGCCCTGTTCACGCGGCACCACGGGTCGATCTCCCGTGTGAAAGAGCCGTGAGACCTGATCAACACAGGAACCATCATCCGTGTAACAAATAAACTGAACGCACACTCAACTCAAAAGGGGTCATTTTCCCGAAAAGGTCACCTAATTTCAAGTTCAAGTTCATTTATTAGGTATAGCCCTGTGAGCCATTCGGCTCTTGAATCGGGTGCAACCGCAACAAACAAAAACAATAACATGAACAAGAAAACATTCTTAAAGTGACTATGTGACTGAGTGCAAACAGAAAATCCAAGAAAGACAGCAAAATATTGCAGAAAAAAGCACCATACACCAACGCTGTGTGCACAAATCCCAGTGGGATGCAAGTCAAACAACAACAACAACAACCACAAGACAACTTAGATTAAGGCCATCATTCTAACTCCGTACTACAACAAACAAATATGGCCAAACCAGTAAACTTTTCGAAATCACCACTGCAAGGCCACACACACACCCGCCCACGGTGTCGTTATTGATTTGTGTTGAGTTCGGTTATTGTTCGTTGCACTTGTGCACCATTGTAAACGCAGCAGCAGCATAATCGGACAAGTATTATTCACGTGTAAGAGTGGACAACATAACCCTCGCGAGTCCAAGTCTAAGACTCGAGAGGGAAGAACTGCCCATAATATTTTCAACCGATTACGTAAAACGTGAAACCTCGTGTCATTTCGTTTTCGCATCTATGGAGGCCCCCGCATTATGTGAGGCCCTATAAGCTGTAGAACCTACTTCGCTTAGGCCTAAATCCGGCCCTAGGTCGGAGAGTTCGTTTCGCTTTCAAAACGGATAACCGACAGAGATATCGTCTAGATTTGAAGCTTTCGTGACTGCAAGGATTCATACTCTTAGGTTTTTTCGGTGAAGTCACGTGGGTAGAAATAAAAAATAAAAAGTCACTAAGGTAAAAATTTAAAACAAATTATAGAAATAATAATAGTAGAAATACAATTATATTTTAATAAAATAATATTTTATTTCTACTATTATTATTTCTATTATTTTTATTTTTACCTACGTGACTTTTTATTTTTACCTATAATAAAATAATATTTTATTTCTATTATTATTTCAATTTTTTTTTTCGAAATAAAATATTTTATTTCTACTATTATTATTTTTATTATTTAAATTTTTTTTATTTTTACCGACGTGACTTTACCGAAAAAAACCTAAGAGTACAGAGATATCATCCCCCGCCCCCCTTCCACCGCTTGCCAGGGACACGGTGATCATCACCCTGGCGAACTGCGGCACCAGCGTCTACGCCGGATTCGTCATCTTCTCCATCCTGGGCTTCATGGCTCACCACCTGGGCGTCGAGGTGTCCCAGGTGGCCGACCAGGGCCCCGGGCTGGCCTTCGTGGCCTACCCGGAGGCCCTCACGCTGCTGCCCATCTCCCCGCTGTGGTCCGTGCTCTTCTTCTTCATGCTCATCCTGCTGGGACTCGGCACGCAGGTGGGTGGCGAGCGGCGGCGGCGTTTGTTGATGTCGTCGTCGTCATCATTTTCATCATTATTGTCGTCGTCAGCGTTGTCTTCAACGTCATCATCATCATCTCTGTTTGCTATACAATATGACCATCTTAATTGTTATTGTCATGAATATCATCATTGTTATCATCATCAACGTCGTTATCGCTTTCATCATCGTTACGTTATCAGTTGCACGGCGTGGGGAGGCCCTCATCCACCAGTGGATTGACAAACGGTCTCTACGAGCTCATGGAACCTTGTGTGTGTGTGTAGTGTCGCGGTTAGCGTGCTGCACTACGAACCCGGTGACGATAATCTGAACCGGTTCTGGGCCTTCCCTAAGTCGACTCAACCTCAAATGAGTACCTGGTACGGTGTGTAAACATCGCCACTGGGGAAACAAAGGTGGCCGGGCGTGGTGCTGGCCACCCACCCCCTCGTGTGCTGTGCCGCGCTTCATAGGTGCTAACAGCACTTGCCCCAACAATCTGTCAAGGCTACACGGGGGAATCTTTATCTCTGTCTTTGTGTCGACGATCGATCGATTGTTGAACCACGTTGTCTGCACCACTTCTTAGTTTTGTCTGCTGGAGACGCTGGTGACGGCCATCGTGGACGAGATCGGCAGCGACACAATCCGCCGGCGCAAGACGTTCGTGACGCTCGGGGTCGCGGTGGTCGGCTTCCTACTGGGCATCCCGCTCACCACGCAGGTGCCCGCACGACCCGCGTGCGCACCTGCAAACACGTGCGCACCTGTAAACACGTGCGCACCTGTAAACACGTGCGCACCTGTAAACACGTGCGCACCTGTAAACACGTGCGCACCTGTAAACACGTGCGCACCTGTAAACACGTGCGCACCTGTAAACACGTGCGCACCTGTAAACACGTGCGCACCTGTAAACACGTGCGCACCTGAAAACACGTGCGCACCTGTATACACGTGCGCACCTGTAAACACGTGCGCACCTGTAAACACGTGCGCACCTGTAAACACGTGCACACCTGTAAACACGTGCGCACCTGTAAACACGTGCGCACCTGTGTACACGTACGCACCTATATACACGTGTAGTGGGTTCACGTGAGAGACACCCTTGACTTTGGAGGCAACACGTTTATTCTATGACCACAACGGGGTAACTACATAAACGTAACAACGGGATAACTATATAGCGGTAACCACCACGGGGTAACTACATAACCGGGTCAGGCAGTTAACGCACAGCCTGACCCACAATGCCGAGTGTGAAGACCGAAGAGTGAAGACCGAAGAGATGCAGCACGGCAGGTTGCATTCCAGTAGACAGCCCGGATCGGACCTCGGGACCTCCCTTTTATGCCCCTCAGCGTGGCCCGGATCCGCCTCGGCCACTCCCCCTTCTAGAACTCCCTAGAAGACTCTGGGCCTGACATCACGTGTCCCTTCTGTCACCTTTGGCCCACATCCTTACCCTGCCCTGTCACGTGCCCTTGCCAGCCAATCGGGCTGCTACATCCTCACACGCGCTCTCTGTCTGCACGCCGCGAGAACCATGCTCCTCAGGGACCATTTACCATGACATAGCACACCCTGCTGGCAGAGAGGGCTACTCACACTCCAGTTCTCCTCTCTATAAGTAATGACCCAATATATGTCACTACACACGTGCGCACCTGTGTACACGTGCGCACCTGTGTACACGTGCGCACCTGTGTACACGTGCGCACCTGTGTACACGTGTGCGCACCTGTGTACACGTGCGCACCTGTGTACACGTGCGCACCTGTGTACACGTGCGCACCTGTGTACACGTGCGCACCTGTGTACACGTGCGCACCTGTGTACACGTGCGCACCTGTGTACACGTGCGCACCTGTGTACACGTGCGCACCTGTGTACACGTGCGCACCTGTGTACACGTGCGCACCTGTGTACACGTGCGCACCTGTGTACACGTGCGCACCTGTGTACACGTGCGCACCTGTGTACCCGCTCACCACGCAGGTACAGAAGCGCTGTACATACTTGCACACCTGTACACCCACCCACCCGCTTGCCTGAGCACAATGCAGGAAGTGGCACACCTGTACAGCTGCACAGTGCTCACTGCACGGGCCTCAAACAGTGCTGCTCCTATTGCACCCGCCAACTCTGTACCCCCCAACCCAACCCCGCACCCCCTCACCCCCATAACACTGCCACCCCCATACCCCCAACGCCACACCCCCAACTCTCAACTCTGCACTCCCCCCCCCCCACCCCACACAACCATCTTCAGGCTGGCATCTACTGGATCCTGTTGCTGGACAATTACGCAGCAAGCTTCTCTCTGGTCATCATCTCCTGCTTCCTGTGCATCGGGATCAACTGGATTTACGGTTACTACCACACCCACCGTGTCCGCTCCGCTTCTCTCTCTCTTCTCTCTCTCTCCTCTCTCTCTCTTCATAAACTCTCCCCGATTACGTACGGCGTGTACGAATGGAATAGCGCTCATCATCATCAGCATCATAGCGCGCCAGGGCAGACATGGTTTAGTTAAGACTCGGCAGTTCTCAGTTTGTATTTCCAGATTTTAAATAAAACGTCTCTGAAAGGAAAAAAATCTATATAATAATCGGTGTTGCCATTTTCGGCAATTATACAGGTGTTAAGATGCTCAATCAGAGCTGTTAATGCCTTGATATTCGCATTGCTTTTGTGCTGTTAACACATTTGGCGTTTTCTGGTCTGGCACTGGTGAGGCAAGGCCTGGTTTCTGGTTTAGGCCATTCAGCTTCAAGGACAATGCATACATTGTTTATTATCGAAGCTCGTTCGTTTGCATGTTTTACCACGAGCATGATGTGTGTTTAATGCAGACTTGATGCCTTCCGATAGGTGTCTATTTGGGTATTTGAACACCTTAACCTCCTATATCATTGCCGGTAAAGGGTAAAGCCTTTTCTTTTTTTCTCATCATCTTAATACCGACAAAAAGGGTCCCATAGAAAGTCCCTGTCTATAATTGAGGGATAGCAACTCGGTAAGACACAAGAGCTCATCATCTGCCAGAGAGTATGAATTTGTCGCGAGGCGGTCGATTACAGTTGATGAAAAACAGTGAGTTAAGTTGATGCTGCTATAATGTGTGGGGAGATGATACAGTTATATAAAAAAGATAACTAAGTAGATTTACAAAACATTTTAGTGAAGGTAGCGTGGGTTACCTTTAAATTTTAAAAAAAATGTGGCTTATCAAGTTGAACATACTATACCCAAGTGTTTTCCTAGAGAACCATATGGGTAATCACAACAATAACAACAACTTTTAAATATGTACCTACGAAACCCACACTAAAGAATCGTTCGGGACTCATCCCCGCATCTTCGATTAGCATGGTTCACTACGTAGGGTGCGAAAGAAGTTCAACACGCATACGTCACCTGCATGGAAATGCTTGGCCAGCACCGATGGCGTTGTGTGTGTGTGTGTTTGAGCCGTGTATAGCTTCGCCTGCCCTAACCACTCCTTGCTCCCTCGCCCTCCCACCTCCACCTGTGCAGGTTTCCGGAAATACTTTAAGGACGTGGCTATGATGCTGGGCAGGGAACCGCCGGTCTTCTTCAAAGTGTGCTGGTGCTTCGTGTCGCCCGCCATCATATTCGTACGTGAACACGCGCGAGGGGGGGTCCTCTCGGGGTCGAGTGGGGTCACGTGGGGTCACACGGGGTCACTCGGGGTCACGCAGGAGCCACGAGAGGTCACGTGGGGTCACGTGGGAGCCACGAGAGGTCACGTGGGAGCCACGAGAGGTCAAACAGGGACTAAGAGGGGTCACGCGGGGCCATGGTTTTTCGGAGTCGGTTCGCGTGTTGAGCATTTACTCTCTGAAGCTTTCGCCACAAACTACTGCAGGCGTCCTTTTTGAGAGTTGAGGTTGGGTTCCTGAAGAAGCTCCCAGAGTGTGGTGCGAAATGTCGAACGTGGAGCCAAACAACGACGGTTGCTTGTGTCGCAATCGAAACGTCGTATTCTATTATTTAATTAAATTTCTTTTTACGTGACTTTACCGAAAGAACCAAAGAGTAATTCCTGCAGTCACGAAAATCTTCCAATCAAGCGCTTAAATAAACTATTCATGATTATTTTTTACGCGCAAGATCAATGCCAGGCAGGCGGTTCTGGTGGTGGCGGCGGCGTCGCTGAAATGCGACTCCGCGCGCAGCGAGCTTACTCCCCCCTCTACTTTTCCCCCACCTCCGCTCCTCAGTTCATCCTCATCTTCTCGATGGTGCAGTACGAGCCCCTGCGCTACGAGGGGAAGCTCTTCCCTCGCTGGGCCGAGGCCCTCGGCATCCTCATGGCCGCCTCGTCCGTCATTTGCATCCCGGGCTACGCCATCTACCACCTCTGGAGGTTACCCGAGGGAACCTTCCTGGAGGTGAGCGGGGGGGGGGGAGATCTTTTTCACCCGCGAAGGGTTTACCGTGGGTGCTTACAGGAGGAGTGGATCGTGTGGGGGAGTGGTGGTGTAGCGGTTGGCGCTACGCTGCACTACGAACCCGGCGACCCGAGTTCGATTCCCGCTCATGGCCACCAAAACCGGTCACGATTATCTGAACCGGTCCTGGCCCTCCCCTAGGTCGACTCAGCCTCAAATTAGTACCGAGTGCAGTGTGTAAACGTCGCCATTGGGGAGACAATGGCAGCCGGGCGTGGTGTTGGCCACCCATGCCTTCGTGTGCCGTGCCGGCCTTCATAGGAGCTCGCTAACACCGCTTGCCCCAAGAGTCTGTTAAGGCTACACGTGGGATCTTTGTCTTTATTGTCAACATCGGACCACCTCTCTAGACAATGCACGCACACCGTGGGTTTTGACCGCAGTAGCATGAGAACCTCACCCCTTGACTCGGCTCATCAATCCTTGAGAGTGGTTGAGGCCCCTGACCCACATGAGCCAACCAGACACCTAACAAGCAACCCGAGCACGCCCCCTAGGAATAGCTTTGCCCTTGACCCCAACAACCCTTAGCTTCTAGCCCTAACCCTAACCACACCAGCCAACCACAGTGGCGAGATGTTAACTACCTCGCCTAATGTACAGGATGTAGTGGGTCTGATCCCGACCCTGACGCCTGCTGTATATTTGGAGTGTCTCTCTCACCGTGGCCGCGTGGCCACGTGGATTCTTCTTCGGGTCCTCTGGTTTTTCCCTCCACATTTAGAATCAATGTGCGTTTAGAGTATTTGGTTGCTATAAATGTTCATGCTTCGTTGAGCTATCGTTTGTGGCCAGGTGACTTCTGAAAAAGATCTGTACTCCTCAGTGGGCCTGACCTGGTAAAATAAAATAAAAAGTTAATAATTTCATTGTTTGTAGATGCTCGTATTAGCTCTACCCCGTAATCTTTAAACCTAACCCTACGATCCCTCCCTCCACGTCTCCCCCGCCCCCCCCCCCCCCCCCCCCCCCCCCCGCTTGCCACCTCCTCCCGCCGCCCGTTCCCAGCGCCTCAAGCAGTCGGTGACCCCCGACCCGTCGTGGGGTCCCGCGCTGCGCGAGCACCGCACGGGACGCTACGCCGTGCCGGGGGGGGCGCCCGGCGCGGGAGCGGAGGCGGGGGGCTTCCCCGGAGACGTGGAGGGGGGCACGGAAGGGGGCCCCACGGGGGCTCTGATCGTCGCCGCCGCGGAGGCGAAGGAGGCGAAGGATTCGAGCGCTTTCCAGCAGCCGCTGAACGGACCCAAGCCCACCGCCCCGGACCTGCACGAGTCGTGTCTGTAGGAGGAGCGCGACGGCAGGCGGTTGTGGAGGTGGTGGCGGTTGTGGTGGTGGTGGCGGTTGTGGTGGCGGTGGCGGTTGTGGAGGGGGCGGTGGTTGTGGAGGTGGTGGCAGTTGTGGAGGTGGTGGCAGTTGTGGAGGTGGTGGCGGTTGTGGAGGTGGTGGCGGTTGTGGAGGGGGTGGTGGCAGTTGTGGAGGTGGTGGCAGTTGTGGAGGAGGTGGTGGCGGTTGTGGAGGTGGTGGCGGTTGTGGAGGTGGTTGTGGAGGTGGTGGCGGTTGTGGAGGAGGTGGTGGTGGTTGTGGAGGGGGCGGTGGTTGTGGAGGTGGTGGCGGTTGTGGAGGAGGTGGTGGTTGTGGAGGAGGTGGTAGTTGTGGAGGTGGTGGGGGTTGTGGAGGAGGTGGTGGCGGTGGTGGCGGTTGTGGAGGTGGTGGCAGGGGGGGGGGTGTAAGAGGGATAGAGAGGGGGTAGAGACAAGGCAGGAAGGGTGTTGTGTAGGGGATGTCGCGTCGTTATCGTAATTGTTGTTGTTGTTGTTGCTGCACGGGAGGCGAACGTCCGGGGCCTGTCTTGTCCGCTAGGCCTGACACACGCGCACAGACAACGGCGACAACAGCCGCCATTTGCCCACTAAATGACAGCGACGTCACAACGGCAGCGCTTGCGCACCGACACACGTGGGCGCACGCGCGCGCACGTGCATTCATACATGTGTTCTGAACCTCGCTACCCTGCGTACACACACATATATCCGTCGGTATGTAAATGATGCAGCGCACACCATTATATAATATCCATATGTGACACACACGTTGAAACACACACGCGTGCGTGCATGATTACATTGTGAAGACTGCAATTCATGGACATGGAAACATACATACATAAGGCTACATACCTAACGACGCAGGGAGAGATTACCCCGTACCGCCTTTAACCGATTGTTGGGACAAGCGCTGCCAGCGATATTACGTTAAGGCCACATTGGTGGACGGGTGGCCAACACTACACCGGGTCGCCTTTTTCTCCCCACTGCTGTTTTACACACCGCACCAGGTGCTCCTATTAAGGCTGAGTCGACCTAGCGGAGGCCCAGGACCGGTTAAAATATTCGCTGTCACTGTTATTAGTCGTGAGCGGGAATCGAACTCGGGTCGCCGGCTTTCGTAGCGCAGTGCGCTAACCACCGCAACACTACCGCTGCACACACGCGTGTCCACACACATGCACGGACGCACACACACGTGTCCGTACACACACACACACGTACACAAACACACGCTAACATTTCACAGCTGCACACACGCGAGACATCTGACACAGAGACATGGGCATTTCAAGAAGTCCGCTCGCTCCGAACGATTACTCCACTCGCCTGCCAGGAATGACTGTAGGCTCAGCTGCGATATCAAAACCACGTCAATTTGTCAGCGAATGTACGCAAAAACTGCTATTATTTTTATCGTGTTTTTTTGTTTTTGTTCATCGACAACAACAAAAAAGTGGGAGACGTTTGCGATTTTTATCATCATTTACAGTTATTGTCGTTATTTGTTATCACTCTTGAAGATAGATTTGAAGAAAAAAACGAAACGGTAATTTTATTTGGGGAGGGAGGGGGGGCTAAGGCATCCCCCCCCCCCCCCACCGCGTGTGTTTTGTAGGATTTATCGAAATGCCTGGGGAGGCCGCTAAGAACATTTCAATTCAAGACCGGCATGTGGAGAGGGGGGGGGGGGGGCGGGAGTTATACGGACGGGTACGCAACCTAAAAGCAAACGGCTCTTATCTTGTAAGCTACACATCCATAGGCTGTCTGCTGACATGAGTTTGCAACTTTGTAAATGTGCGGGGGAAAAAAAACCGACAAAGATTTGAAGCTAAGGTTCATTCATTCAAAATTAAGGAACGGGAGGTTGGCCCGTGTGGGTCACGAGGTCAGAGCGCTGAGTCGACTTTGGTTAAACTTTGTTGGCAGGTCCACATTGTTGGCAGCTTCCAGGTCACGTAAAAAAATTAAGCATTCAGCGGTTAAACTTTTCACAGCTGTGCTCCCCCCGCCATCAGCACAAAACCCAACGATCCCATCGATAGTCACCAAACTATTATGTAAGCAAAAAAAAAAGCATACCAAACAAAGTCATATTTCTCCGGGTCCTCCGGTTTTCCCCTCCACATTTAGAATCAACATCAACGCGTTGAGAGTATTTTGCCGCTGTGCATTTCCACACGATGATACGCCACTTCGTTGAGCTATCATTTGTGACCAGGTCGCTTATGACAAAAAGCTCCGTAGCTCAGTGGGCCTTACCTGGTAAAGTAAAAATAAATAGTTTCGTTTTAAATCGGTTAGTTTGGTTTAAATTGGGGTTTTCAAGTGTGTAGCGAGTTGATGACCATCTCCAATAGCTGTGCAAAAAAATGATTACATTTGGGTTGTCACGCAATTTAACTAATTTACGCTTCTGAGAATTTCCACGACAAAAAAATGTATCGCTTTGACTGCCATATGACGGACATGTATCCGTATCGAATCTGATTGAAGGGAACTCAGAAGTAGTTCTTTGGCATCTGCTTTTTTGGGCTATTCTCCAAACACACGGGGTGATGCACGGTTCATACCGAACGTACGACTCGATGTCGATTGCACGATGGTAATGAAGTTTGGAGAGAGAAAGAAAACATCCAGCTTACACATGAACTGATTTAAGTTCGTAGTACATTGCCACTGCACGCATGCAGTGAGAGTGCACTACGCGACTTGAAATGCTTTTTTTCCCTCCCATTCAAGAAGCTCCGTGGCTCAAGGTCAGGCAGCGAAGGACACAACATTGCCTGGAAGATAAGAGCCGCGCGTTTTGTGGGGTTACGCCCGAAGTCAATTAAGTGGCTCGGAAAGGTTCAATTCCTGGCACCAGACAATTTTTTTTTTTCAAATTCACCAAAAAAACAACTCAGCACTCTGGCGAGCGTTGTGCAGGCGGTGCAACTCCACCGGGGCACCCTGACCCGAGAGGCCAAGGCGCTGGAGAAGGAGGGAGGGTGAATTAGAGAGGGGGGGGGCATGCCATTTCTAGTATCAGGGCCTATGCCAACCACGCTACGCCACCGATGAATTTGATGGTGATAATGTTGATGATGATGGTGGTGGTGGCGATTATGGTGATGATGATCAATATTATCGGTGGCATAGCGATCGAGCGGGCGACCGACCCATGCCAGCCACGCTACGCCACCGATGAATATGATGGTGATAATGTTGATGATGATGGTGGTGGTGGTGGCGATTATGGTGATGATGATCAATATTATCGGTGGCATAGCGATCGAGCGGGCGACCGGCCCATGCCAACCACGCTACGCCGCTGTTGAATATAATGGTGATAATGTTGATGATGATGATGGTGGTGGTGGCGATTATGGTGATGATGATCAATATTATCGGTGGCATAGCGATCGAGCGAGCGAGCGACCGGCCCATGCCAGCCACGCTACGCCACCGATGAATATGATGGTGATAATGTTGATGATGATGATGGTGGTGGCGATTATGGTGATGATGATCAATATTATCAGTGGCATAGCGATCGAGCGGGCGACCGGCCCATGCCAGCCACGCTTCGCCGCTGGGGCAGTGCCCAATTCTTTCGGTGGTCCAGTTTGGAAGCCAGTGGTGCTGGGAAATTCCACATTCCTATGGCGCGAGCCATATCTTGTATAAGACAACAGCGATGAGAAAGAAACCCAGACACTTATACAACAACAACAACAAGAAGAAAAATCGCATTTTATGAAATCAAACTGAAATTTTATGAACCGAGTACCAACGGCGCATGAGTGTTGTGTTGTTATCGCCCCCCTAATGGTAACGGGACGTACGACTCCTCGGCGTGCTGTATAAGCGAACATATTATATCGTGTTGTTATTTACCATGATGTTGTGAGTACACCGCCCTTAAAATAACATTTTTTTAAGCTCATCGTTATTAATACATGCGTCGATTGTGTTATTATTTTATGGATTTTTTTTGTAACGTCTTATAGGGTCCATACATTTAGCTTAGACATTATATTATTCAATTATTAATTCTCATCGGAGATTGTCTTCCTAATAGCGTTGCCGGATATACCGTGGCCCGCATTTATGTAATGGAGCTCACTGCATGCATCTTGCAATTGATGTTTGGGTGGGGGAGAGGGGATGATGAGATAGTTAGATGGTTGGCAGTAACAATAAATCGATGTCTTCCTGCACAGACGAGCCGTGGGTTGGGCAAGTGCCCATCTCATTTTAGTGGTGGAAATTCCACATTCCCGTGCCAGGTGCCAGTTTTGCCCGTGGGAAAGCCAGTAGAGTGGTCACCGTGAAGACTCAAACCAAGGATCCCCTTTGGGAGGAAGAGACCACCGTGACCTGTCATTGTGTTGCAACTAAATTTCGATGTAAAGCTTTCGTGACTGCAGGGATTCATCTTCTTGGTTCTTTCGGTAAAGTCATGTAGAAGGGAAATAATAAAATAATAATAAAAACATAATAAAATAATTCTCACGACGTTTCGGCCACAACGCAAGCAGCCGTCCTCAGGTGAAGACCAGGTCTGTCGAGAAGACAGAGTCTGAATGACTTTTCGACAGACCTGTTCTTCACCTGAGGACGGCTGCTTGCGTTGTGGCCGAAACGTCGTGAGAATTATTTTATTATGTTTTATTTTTATTATTTTATTATTTCCCTTCTACGTGACTTTACCGAAAGAACCAAGAATATGTTGCAACTGTTCCTTAAAAAAATATACCCTATTTAACAAAAATGCTCGCGTTTGAGCCACTCGTCCTATACGCATTGTTTTTGGAGGTGCACAGGTGAGAGCAATGCCATTGGATCGTTCCATTGTTATTTTTGTTGTTGTATCGGGAGAGGTGTCAGTTTAACACGTAGGCTTTCGCGACCAATATTATTGATAATGAATGTGATTTTAGGTTCAATCGCGTGCATATAAATGTGTCGTTAACCCACCACACCTGACACAACTCTGACAAATCGCCTGATGAAGCTGGTTGCAATCAGC